TGCAAAACATTCAAAGTAAAAACTTGTAAAAATACATTAGTATGGCGGAAAATATCCGAGGAATATATTAAGAGAGGAGTTTATGAGATTAAAGTTGCTTCATGGGTAATCAGGRCATGAMGAAAAGTCAATATGTCGGTCAAGATTCCCAGACGATCACGTTATGCCCTTACGTACAGGCAAGGAAGGTGGAGTCCCTAACACAGCGGAAATGCCTTGGGGTCCTTGAGCTACGCAGTCAAGTGTTTGAAATTTCGAATGTAGTCTWCCAGTAGGATGCTGAAGTTTTTTTTGTATTCTTTATCAGACAAAAAGGTCAATGAAAAATATTAAATTTCGATAAATTTCGGATGTAGCTATCAATGTAATGAATATTTATTTCATTGGTGTCGCTTATGATGATTTAATAACGTTGTCTGGTTGCAAAAGGCTGATACCACGGCGGGAGCTAACACCGAATGAGCCATTTTTTAACTAAGAAATTCGAGTTACATTTACTTMAAATTAAAATTAATCTTCTTGTATATATATTGTAATTTTATGCTATTCTGATCACCCTGATGATGGACGATCGTCCGAARGCTTGGGACATTTAGTTTTTTCATAATAAAGTATTGTTGGAGATACATAGAGTTTTTTCATTATGAAGCTACCCAGCAACATAACTATCTTAAATTACTTMAAATTGTTAAATCATAGCATTACTTGAAGGGAAGGTCAATTCATTCAGCGGAATACAATCTTTTGTCACTGAAACACTGAGTGCCTTTCGGTCCTTGCTTTGATGATGTAATCTTTTGGAACCGGAATACGTTTTTTCAATTAGGTGGAATTGTTGCCGAAACTGAAGCAAACAAATTGCACTTCGAAATGTATAAAGTACTTAAAATACCCTATTTACAAGAGATGTATGTAATGATGTACGCAAGTATTTCCACAGCCATTTTCAGCTAACACCAGAATCAACTGATACGGCCTTTATGCTTTGATCACCAGAAATGGTCCTATCCCGTTTGCTTGTCTTTGAAATTAATTTGTTTTTTAAGGGTAAAGACGGTCTATCGCTCAAMATTCTTGGCTCTTTTTCTGTTTGCTTGTAGTCTTACCTTATTTGCCTCGGTCATTACATTTAACAATGATAGAGCAACCAATGTCACAACAAAGTAATTATGACGCATGTTTTGGGAATAATTTTCCTTTTCAGTTTAAGAAAACGTTGCTTGGATCTTGGATAGTCAAGCAATGATGCACACCTTCCAGTCGATCGTATGACGTGCTAAACCACAGGCAACCCAAGCAGAGCATACAAAAAAATTTTGAACGTCCCACGCGGCCTTTTCCTGTCACGTTCGGTATACCCTGCGAGCAGAGGAATTTTTCCACTATCTTCGTAGAAGGAGGTGGAACATTCCTCTGTTCGCAGGGTAAACTAACAGTTAATCTGCGAGAAAATCTAGAAAATACAAACGCTTGSCTTGGACAAATCGACAATTTACATGTAAGAAGATGCCAAGAGCAAAAGACAACAATAGTTACAACTTTTAATATATATTTTGTCATCTTTGCCCAAGATTATTTTAAAATTCCACAATAAGTTATAAGCTTAATATCTCCTAGAAAATTCACTATCAAAAAACCCAAGACAATCCAAAGTAAAAATAAATTTTGCTAATATTATGTAAGCATATAGCACAGTAACACAAAGATCGCATCAGTTGTGTGGTTGTTATTTTTATAATCTTGAACTTCTTTTTTAATAATTGGCATCAGTTTGAATACATCAAAGATTCAGCATATTTTGATGATTGTTTTYGAGCTTTTTACTATCACAAATGCAATCTGTTCTCTGACATGCAATGTAACATGCTAGTACATTTTGTTCATGTAAAAGATTTCTATATCATTGATCATAATTTTCAACAACCAAATATAATGTATCTGTTGGCTGTTTTTTAGGTATGAAGATCAAGATCTTATATTTTATTTCTCTGTACAGTGAGATAGCTTTAAGTCTCTTTAGTTTGATATTCCTCGYAAATGATTCTTTATTTTGTGCTTTTAGCCTTATTTATTATTGAATCAAACTTGATATCAAATTTCATTCTGGTAGTATTATAGACCATTATAGTGACTAACTAAACCCCCATGCCCCTACTCTATGCTTACAAAACACAGATCACTGCCTGGGACGTTTCACCCTGCCTGCAGGGTTTGATTTTAATAAAATCATCTTACCTTGATATCATGTGTTCTTGATGTTATTTAACATTGCTGTGTGTGGTTTTGAAGGGATTTAGACCTATTTTATAAAAAATATCACCCTCAGTAGTAAAAGACTACAAGGGTGGHTACAGAGCTTCAAAATTATGAAAACTGAAAACCTTGGTGGAGATGCAATAAATCAATATATTTCTGTTATATGTATTTCCTTCGCTTTTTTCCCCTCGCGAATAATTAATGAGTATGAGAAGTCGTTCAAAGTCCTCCAATTCGGACTGGACGGGATTTCAAGTCCTTGCAATTAGTTCCAGTCCTCGGCTAACGCCTCGGACTGGAACTAAATATTGTGCGGACTTGAAACCCCGTCCAGTCCTCATTGTCGGACTTTAAACATTACGTCCACACCACTCGTCTTTAATAGCCGAAAAAAATATCTTAAATCCATCTTTTGCCTCCAAAATACTCTCAGCGGCATGTCTCTAGGATCCTTCTATCCAGAATTGGGCAACCTTTCAACGGTTTATAAATCCAACCGTGCCAAATCGTCATGTTTGTACGCTATTCGGACTCAATTTTTGCATCMGGTCAACCCTTCATCCAGCTTGTTGGACACGGACTTGCAAAACTCCCTCTGATTGGACGACAGTTTCCATGGAATCACTTCAAAAAACCCCGACTACTAAGGGGAGTGCAGAAAATTGTACAATTGTCTACATCCCCCAAGGAACTCAAGACCCTTTGGAAACAAGAACTAATAAGTTTTACTAAGCTTATAAGCTTAATCTATTCATCATTTTTTTATACATGAAAATAGCTAGTGCTACGAAACTGATAAAGTAAGAAGAACCGACGGAAATTGTGGAACTTACCAAAGATTCCATTTTATAATGCTTGAAACACTTTGACTTTGCATCTTTTCTGAAAATAAACCTATGCAGCGTGCTTCAAAAATGGCGCCGGTTGAAAACTTCGAAATAAAAACAGTCTGAGTTTTCCCTGAGCTGTGCACGTGTTCGTCTTCGGGTTTCCGCGCGCCCTTGGGGGATGTAGACAGTTGTACAATTAGCAAACCTATTATTACAAATAGCAAACCTATTATGGAAAGAGAGTGAAAAGAAGGTATGATTCAGGAGTGGAGATACTACATACTACCCCTAACTTGGGGTAGCTGTGCGGCACATTGTCCGAAATTTTTTAATGCAGAAAATGGTATTATATCGATTTTTCTACATGAACTATTTAAGGGGCCATACAAATTCGCGAATATGCGGATTTAGGTGATTTTTTCCCCCGATTTCAGAAATGATGTTGGTTTTCCCCCCAGTTGTCTGTGTACTTGGTTCAAACAATTGTTGAAAGTCYTTGGAAGTGTYGTTCTTGTTGTGGAATTACGCATTAACCTTAGTTTTCTCTGTAAAGTGTTTTTTGAGTTACTTCTATCGATCGACATTGAAACATCAATAAGCGATGTTTTTCGATTTGATCTCTTACAAGGAAAAAGTCATTGAGAGATGGAGAGAAGACTTTGAAAGTGTCTTGAAAAAAAACCTCCCAAAATATAACCAAACCATCAACAGGCTATATACTCCAACTTCTTATCAACGAAACAATAGACGCCGTACCATCATTGTGAAGGTTTTCCGTCTGCTCTAAAACAGAAAAGCTCCAGCTTCAGACTCCATCCAAGCTAAAGTAAGAGAGGGGGCCTAGCACTAACCGAGAAACTTCACTTTTGTTTACCTAAGCTCATCTGGCATCAGTAAACAGTGCCACAGGACTTCTAAGGAACAACTGACCCAGGAAAGGGCATTGACGTTCTACCGTTCATANCTTTAACCGTCATTATTCGTTTACGGCGATCAGAGCCTTCGCTTAGCGCACGACGATTAAATAACAAGGTATTGTTCGCTCCATCGAGCGGCGTTCTTACTGGGGTGGTATCCTTCGATGCCATTTAACGATTGCTCAATTCAACTATACAAGTTTTACTGTGGCTGCCATCGCAGTCATTGCTAGGGTTTCAACGGATACAATAAACCAAGCCAACACATACACAACAGATCTTTTTATTGGCACGTAGTTAAGTATCGTAAAACTATAAAATAATTAAAACATAAACTAGAATTACTAAACAATCATGTACAAACAATAGATCTTGAGATTGGCTGTATTCTTGCAGTATAAAATCGAAAAAGTAATCAAGTAAATCATACCTTGTCTAGCGCTTAACTTGTCATTAGGAAAAGAGAACGCTAACGTGTTGACACGAGATTATCTAGTATACTAAATTTAATAATTAACTAAAACACCATGACGACAGTCACATATACCCTATGCCCCAATTGATAGTGAGACGTACTTTCAGTTAATAGCAATCTGCTGCGCATGCACAAATAATTTATCCACTTTTTTGTCTGTTTTTGTATAACACTTTATTCAGTATACTTTGAGTGCTGTATCAATTTCAATTCTATAAGTGTGCGTTATATCGATGAGTGAAGAGATATCACGTGCATGTCACGACATATAGTCAACTTGGATCAGAGAAACCAGTCAGCTCCTGAATTACATAAGATGACATAAGCAGGGGTGCTTCAGCAACCGGTAGTTTTAACGGCACTTCTACCGATAACATAAGACGAATTTTTTGACATTTGTCAGGATTTTCTTTCTTCATGAAAGACTTGTGCATCTTTAMGAAAACATTTTAACATCAATCTACAAAGATGGAACAGTCTCAAAAGCTGAGCAAGTTACGAATTGTGATTCTAATTTTTTGTCTCGCTGGTCGAAATGACTTTATTTTCATGCTCATTTCTTGGCTGGCCTTCGTTGATTATCATTTTTTTGCCGAAAATCTCCATACAATCATTCTATATGTCAGCTCTTTCTCACTATGTGCAGAACAAGAGAAAAGTTTGAACTTAAGTCATGACATTGCAGTAATGGTAATGGCAATATATGTATTCCTGGCAGGATGGGCAATAGATAGATATGGTGCAAAACCAGTGAAAATATTTTCCAGGTTAATGATTACATAACTTTTCGATTCGACGAGTGGACGAGTAGACATTGTTATCTGTTTTCATAGAAGAATGCCTTCCCAGTGGTGTCTAATCAGCGCTTGTGATGGAACAAATCTCTATCGATATTTCATGGTAATAACCATCATTCAAGGGAACAGAAAACAATAAAAAACTCTTGGAAAACGCAACCTTGGTGATGTAGCCTAACACACATAACAAGACTATAACAGCGTGAAGAGAGAGGAGATATTAATGACCTTAATGATCGACGGCATTAAAATTGACTGATCAATGAATAATTTTTAGTGTTTTGACGATTTTCCTTTATTTTTATCAGGTCTTATCATATTATTGTTGGTTTTTCCAATCACAGGCTTCGTTCTGACGTTAATGTTCAACCGCCGTTTCTTGATTGCCTTAAATTAACTTGGAAATGGTGACCACCACTCCTTTTTTTAGATCCGGTATGGACAATACATCAATTGTCTTAATTGAAATTGCTAATTTGTTTCTCATTTCACTAACTTTCGATTACTTAGGCCCCTGGTCACACTTATCGGGGTATACTGATTTAACATATCAAACTTATTGTCCGGGGATAGGACATGAAAGCAACACCATGTATCAATTATATTTTCTGTTGGTACCTTTGTATTTTAAAATTAGTGTTAAAATATTCAATTTAATAGAGCAATGGAAGAGAGGCTCARACTGGRGTGTGCTAAAAAACGAATTAAGATGAGGATTAAAAAGTATKTACTTTGTACTTTTTAAAATATGGYGAAAAAAAATCCTGCAAAGATACATACAAAAAAATCCCTGCACACCACTAAGAGAGAAAAAATATCCTACCCAAAAGCCACGAAAAAAAAATCTTGCTCACAAAAAAATCACCCCCCACCCCCCACTCAAAAGTTAAATGGTCCGCCCCTTACGCAATCTAATTTAAAGGGGGCTTTAAAAGTATCGATAATTTTGACCACACTGAAGTTGTGTACAATGTCTTCAACAGGCAAAAAATCGCGCGCTTTAATCAAATTTACAGAATTTTGGACACTTACATCATATTTACATCAAATTTACAATTAAAGCGCGCGATTTTTTCCAGTGAGGTGCTATACGAACATGGTGTTAAGTACCAAGTATTGTGCCAGATTCAACTTTACAGTTCACTGGTTCTATTAGTYAGCTCCATAATCATCTTCCCAAACATTAAGAAAGACGAACCAGCTTCAAAACAAACTATGACCAAGACAAACACCAGCGAGCTTCAAAAAGATTGAAAAATCTAAAAGAAATCATCGCGTTGATGGATCCTCATAACGACTTGCTTGTTTGTTGGAATGTGCCGGCTTCGTTTATTTTTCTTTATGACAACCTTTCAACAGTATATTCTTGCTTTGCCGAATACTGACATCAAAACAGGTATACTATCGAAAAAACATGATCTGAAAACATTTTTATGTCGCTCATTTCTCAAAATTTGCACCTCATGTTTGCAATATGTGATATCATGGATCTAGTCACTTCTAATAAGTGTGCAATGTTATAATTCTAGTGGAATTTCTAACGTCCCATCTTATTTTCCTACTAATTATTTAACTGAATTGATCGGAGCTTCAGGAGGAAGACTTCATGGAATGCACGCCCATCCCAAATGACTTTGTATCTTCTCATTCTGTGGTAATTACCGCAATATTAAATGTCCTATCCCCGGAAAAAGCATTCATTTTATCATCATTCTCAGTGTATGAAACCCGATTTTCCGCTAGAATGCATCTAATCTGATTTCTTGCATTTCAGTCTCACAATACGCAGACATATCAAAGAATTGCCCCACAAAAGTTGTCCTTCAGCAGCCATATATGATAATCTTACCTTATTTGGAAGTTCGATAGGAATGGTTTTTGTCGATTTTCTCGCCGAGAAGACGAGACTTTAAAAGTCGGACTTTTAAAGCTTGAAAGCTTGAAACTTGCAGATATTATAGCGAAAACACTTCTAAACAATCCGCCATTTTGTTTCCATATATGGCATGGATTCCCACAATTTAATATATTCTATCATTCTTACTCGTTTCCATTCCTCTTGGTGTTGGTTACCCATGTTACCTTTGGTACTTTGCACGACGATTGGCTGTAAAGTCACGCAACATACCCCATGCTTGTGACTACGAAGTGGAAAAACTTATATATGAACGCGTGACGGTATTATAAATAGAATTGCGTNCCGCAGTGAATGCTGGTGGACCATGTCCCTTTAAGAGATCTCGCACGGTCATGTGTAATGGTGGCATGATAGTGGAATGGTAGAATTTTAATTGAAATTACATAGATGAATCTTTTCATTATTAGCAAATTTAATCTTCTTGGAATATAACAATGTAATGCAAAACTAGTGATGTAATTTTGTATTTTGTTTTAATAAGAAAAACACGTTTAAAATCAAGATGAAAAACTAGTTGACAATCTATTTATAGACCAATGGGACGAGTGCTATTTGTCACTGACAAACTCCYTACTGCCRTTATACTGATTCATCSTCTAAAATAAACCATCACATCTGGACAATGGAAGTCAGGAATAGTGGATACAAAGACCATTAGCTACCATCGGGGACAAAACTGTTAGTGTCRMAAATGAGCCMGCGAAATTGCATACTTTAGAGTACCTCCCCACAACTCCCCCTCCCTCTTCTTGTTAGGTGATGACATTGATCAGTTACATTGAGGACTACCAACATTGTATCGGGGAAGAGGGGAAGCAATGGGCTTATTGTGTAAAATAAATTTTATTAAGCACACACTCCGTCTTTAGCACAGGCGATCCAACACATTATGCTCGCAATTGTAGTTTAAAGATCCATGATCCACCGGCATCCCTTTCGAGCTTTAGTTTATGCAACATTAAAAATTCTGCAAAAGTAGTCTCCTTTACAGCCTACTTTTGTCGGGCTTCCTGTCATCTATGGACAAAGATCGATGATGGGCAACAAATCATACGACGCGCGCATTGATTGGATGAAACTGTGAAAAAAAGAAAAGAAAAAACGAGAAAAATCGAGAAAAAACGAGAAAACACGGTTTTCAAGGCAAGATTCAGTTTGACCAACTTGACAAGGATGCACACTAGCAGAAATTGATGAGACAGAAGATAACAACACCGGCAACAACAARATATATAAAACAGACAAATATTTTTGACGAGATTGTTGCAGTTACCTTATTGAGATTCTGTGTTCAAAGGTGAAAGTTTCCAATAGTTTGASGAYATTCATCGAAAGTTGTAAATGTGTTAGTTCTATAAACAATATACTGTTGTTACTGTAAAATGACTCTAAGGAACACGGCGTTGAGCAGACATAGGTTAACATCATCATTTCTCTTCGCGCCAGGAGGCGCATCATGCCTTGGATGCTGAGGTTGGCCTGGGAAAAAGGGATCATAGCGGGTTAAGTTTACTGCAGTAACACTGCGCTCTCCATGGTTACCAGCAACTCTAACGGATTTATAATCTTACAATCTTAGACATTTTGATGCGGGACATTGCAACGCAAAATTGCAACTCACTACAAATCATTTGTCATGTTGACAAAAACGAGAGAATTCATGCCGTACCCCGTTACAATGCTGTTTCCGATTATTCTTAAGTTTAATAACATCCTGTATAACATCATTGTTGGTAGTGAGTGGGGAAGAGGGAAGATGGGGGGCGGAGGGTAACATCGATATTAGATTTGAAAAAATATTTAAATTTGGATGATGAACTAAACTATTTTGTCCATTATTGTTGATAACTCGTGGACTCGTGTCTCTCAGAGAGTGGACGAAGTATTGCTATCATTGTGGTGCTGTTTAAACGAAGACTCAGGATAAACGTTCCGCGCGCGTCACTTCTCTCCTAGTCAAATAAAAGCGCCGTTGGTTTCCATTCCAGAGTTGTAGGAAAGGGCTTGACCTCACAACATGATCTACTGTTGTCATTGTAGAATATATCGCGCGGTGAAGTAGAGTTTCTGGGGAAAAGCTTGGAGCCAATTTGACGGGTTGGTTTCCTTTTAACATCCATGCAACTCAATAGTCAATTAGGGTATCTTGTGGAAAACAGATTCGTTACATGAGTTGTTGTTACCTTGTGGTTGCTTAGCACTCAAAAAAACAACAACAAAAACAGCAAAAAAAAAGACCAAAAAATATGTCTTTTTAAATGCTCTCTAAGTGTAAGACCATATACACTAAGGAACAGTACATATTAAGGAATCAAAATGTGATTTTTTTAAGATACCGATTTCGGAGTGCACACAAAGAATAGATTTAAACCGCTGATCGTATGTATCGCGTATTCTGTCACTGACAGACATTAAAAAAAAGAATTTCAGACACTTAGAAATGTGTGCCTTCATTCCAACCTGTACAAATACAGAAGAGGTCGCCAAAGGGCCAAAGAAGCTTAACGAACAAATCCAAACAACAGTCGCAGATTTATCACTACTGAACACTCTAAGAGAGCTCAGTCGGGCTAGATCAAAGCATCCGATTCAGAATTGCGATTGATGAGCTGGTATATAATAATCTCTTTGTACCCAGTATTTTATTTATATTTCTTGATATCTGACCCTCTATACTTATATCACTGAAAGGCAGGACAGAGTCTTAATAAAAAATCCAATCTAGGGTGTCGGTGTAAGCTCTATAAATATTCAGATGCAGATTTGTTGAACGAGTTGCAAGAGTGTAGATAGCGAGAATTCGAGTTTAGATGGTACTCGATCATAATTCTGTTTTATAATTTCAATGTTTTGCTTTGTTGCGTTCTGGAGCCCCTCTGTGTAGACAAGCGTTCCATCACGTTCAAGAAATATTGATGGCTACTTACTGACGATTAGTATATTCACTATATATGAGACAAATGAGAGACATAACATAAAGTCGACGCAAAACGTTTACTGAAACAAAAAACAAACAATAGAAACAATAACGAGACTTAGGAGGTAGAGGTTTGTCGGGGGTGTGTTTGGAGGACTGCTAATATAACTCCAATGAAGCGGAGAGTGTTTACATAATGGCTAAAAGATAGCTGAAACTACTGTTAAAAAATCGATCTTCAATCGCATTGACCATTGTCATTATGATTTCCAGCGTTTTAATTGGTTTGTTTTAATAACATACCTTCTTCATTTATAATATTTCCATCATTACAACTGATTTATGCTTCAGTAATTGTAAAAGCTTGTTGACAGTTCGTTATTTGGAATCTTACCAATTTATAAGCAGTACGTCAAGCACTGGCTGAAAGACGTTTTAAGAAACTACAAGCTGCATAACACTTCATCTCGTACACAAATAGTTTGAACAACTAGGCTCTTATAATACAATATGTCCTATAATCCATATTAGAGAATTCTATTGTTACACTCAAGGAGGTTAAGCTCAGTTCTATGGAAAGAAAGGCATAATTTTACATTCGTCTTTCGTAACCACTTTTGCGCAATAAGTAGACTTATAGAACTCCATCAACTCCAGCATTTTAGCCATGTACCGTTAAGTTTATTGTGCAATACTAGTCAGTCAAGAGTCACCGAAAAAAACATATGCTCTTTTACCCTTTGTAACCTATGATTGTTTGAATTCCATAAAAACCATTCCACTAAAGCATTCGCCTTGAGGCACAAACATTGTCAACTAGGATCATCCGAGATCTCGTGTTGTGTGGCAATAATAAATTTATGCATTAGTTCGTTATTCAAGGTGATCAGTACTGTCTTTTGTAGTGCCTAAAAAAACATTTTTTAAGGTCATACGATATTCTTCCAATCCTTTGATAGGTATTTAGAACAAGTCCTTATCATAATATCTACTCGACTTCAGATTGTTTTTAGTGGTCGTTGTGGACGGCTTGGTGCGCCCCTTATCCTAACCATCAAGCATTGCGACAGGCAACTATAAAAGCTTTTGTTTACTAACTGCAAGGTTTATATTTTCCTGAGGTAGGTTTAAGGTGTAGCTATGGCAGAGCCACGTATAACATTCAACGTCGTTGCGCTAGTCTTTCAAGCTCTTCTCATCGTTCTGTTTGGGGTTTTGGTTGATTATGGCGATGATGCAGTCCCACCACACGTTAAAGACGGGACCGACGTCAATAAAGGCTTCAAGAGGCCTTATACAAACTCTTTACCGGTTTTCTACTCACGTAAGTTTAATAGTATGCGTGTTTGCTAAATAAATCCAAAATACAGGAAGTCGCAGTACTTAAAGCATGTTAAAGAGCTTACCAGTTTTATTAAAATCCATCAATTTGTGTACAATATTTGTACAAATCCCACCAAGGCTACGCAAACTACTTCAAGAACCAGATAACTGCGTTTCATGACTAAACTATAAAATTTGACAATGAAATTTGACGGCATAAAATCTAAATAAATACAAAATACAGACATTCGCACTATAATATGTATTGTTTATAAGATCTTTGTTTAGCGCTTTCTTCACCTTTACTAGTGCCTTACTATCATACTATCAACGGTATCTCTATCATCTATTGGTCCCTATTGCTCGATTACGTAATGACAGATAGAAATCATTGGAAAAAAGGAAAAAATAGAGTATCGCAATGTTTTTATTGCCATAAAACTAGAGAAATTGGGTTCATTTTTGTAAGTTGTACAATGCMATTAGCTATTATCAAAACAGACCGGCTAGTAATGCGATCWYSTCGTATTATTATGGATATCATGCGGTCTAGTGCGACTTCAAGGGTCACTCCGTCACCATCCTCTTTATAAGGTTTGCTGCATAATAATGTGAAAGAAAACAAATTAAATAAAAAATATATGCGTTAAATATCTAGTTCTGATGACAATAACTCTTCATTGGTTATTCACATAATCCGAAAATGGYCATTAATTTTATTGTTTTAAACATATGGATGGGCTGATGAAACCAGGGAAACAAAAAAAAGAAAGGAAAAATGTAGAACGTGGTGGATCTGTGGTTGTAAAACAGCTCATTCATTGGTTAGACTTTGTTTCACCGGCGAAGTGACATTTGATTCAAGTTGGGTGTCACGCCACGCAGAACATGTCACACATATTGCTCTTTTGCACAGTCGGTCTGGCTAAGKTTTTTTGGCTGATCAATGCGTACACGTTGCAAGTGTGTATATACTGCTAAAATTCTAGTTGCCGRTAATTCTATTTTATAATTTCAATGTTTTGCATGTTGCGTTCCGGTAATGAACYCCTCTGTGCAGGCAAGCGTTCCATTATGGTCGACAAGTACTGAACTATTTATGACAGTTGATCATTATTCATTCGCCCCATATGGAATCCGATAGACAAGAGGAATCAAAATTAATTAGTGACTTCAAAAAAAGGCTTTGGATTCTGGTTCCAATATGGTGGAATCCAGAATCGTTTGCGAGACTTTTCACTATATAATCAGGAATCCAGGAGATTTGAATACGAATTCATATATGAACACAGTAATAGACGACGCATAACTATGAAGGCAACGCTACACACCCTTACCCCCTGGGCCAAGTTATTGTTTCCTGCACCAAGAGTTCACTGACTTGATTTTCAACCGCTCTTCATTCATGAATATCGTTTGAAGTGATTAATCAAGTTAATTCACGGATGAGCTCAATAGACATCGTTTTAACCAACATCACAAATGCGACAAAAGAGAAAGTCTGCGGAATGTCAATATGTTCGCCTTTATTAATATATTGATAAAAAGTTAATGTTTGTAGTATAATAAAAGTTTAAATGATGACGTATATTGATTTCAAGTTTGCAGAAAACATGATTTTATGAGTTGTTACTGGAGTTYGGGGGGTTTGAAAATGCGYATGTCTGTGAAAGGAGGGAAATACCAAAACGWGGTKGTTGGGGCAATGGTTGATCAATGTGCACAAAACTCTTCATTCCATGATCATTTCGCATATTTGAAGTTTAGCGATTACATTTCAACTTTTGAAAAAAAAACTGGTTCACTTTTCGCAACGCATTGCAGCATCTTACAACGCCATTACACAGCGTATCACCACTCAACAACAAATTTCCCGCAAATTTTGAGTCATATGATACTCGGTGTGAGAGCGACTGTCACCGCGCCTTCTGGATTTTTGCCCCTAGTCTACCTCGGCAAAATGTATTGCAAATTGCTGGAAAACTTGCACAGTGTAATAACAGAGCAGGAATCAATGAAACTAGATAATTCAAGCTAACTATTTATTCCTCGGGACATTTATGTTCGCAGAACACACACAATAGTTTAAAATGATGAATTTATCATTACGAGTCGGCCCACCAATACATTTTGATCATTATTTGCAGTGTTTCAAGATGTTCACGTTATGRTCTACATTGGTTTTGGTTTTCTCATGACCTTCCTTAGAAAGTATGGTTTTAGCTCAGTTGGGTACAATTTCTTTATTGCTGCTCTTGTCTGTCAATGGGCGACCATCACATCTGGAATATTCAATCAGATCATCGCTGAGAAAGTCAGCCACATTAAGGTGGACATCAAAATGTAAGCCTGTGACAGCAGTCAACTCAATCACTCACTCACTCACTCATTCACTCACTCACTCACTCATTCACTGACTCAATCAATCAAATCAATTATTATAATCAATCATTTATTATAATCAATAAATCAATCACTTAATTAATTTAATCAATTATTATAATCAATCAATCAATCAACCAGTCAATCAATCAATCCATCCATCCATCCATCCATCAATCAATCAGTTAATAATATAATGACACGATTATTTTCACAGACTGACCGGTGCCGAGTTCTCAGTGGCAGCAGTTCTCATTACGTATGGTGCTGTTCTTGGTAAAGTCAGCCGTCTTCAGCTACTGRCTATTGGGTTCTTTGAAGCAATCTTCTTTGCTATCAATGAATACRTCAATGTGCACTATTTAAAGATCGCTGATGCCGGGGGTTCCATGATAATCCATGCCTTTGGTGCTTACTTTGGACTGGCTGTGGCTCGAGTCATCTACAGGAAAGACCATAGTGGCAACGAGAAGGAGGGTTCTGAGTATCATTCGGACATGTTCGCTATGATTGGTAAGTGATGGATACCACACTGGCTAGAGCATACGGACCTYAATATGACATATTTGATTTAGAAAAAAATCAGCACGAAGCACACAGCAGAATTAAAGCAAAATATCAATTCCTCACAACCGCGTACGAAATCATCTCTGTACCGAATATTGCTTGCACTCACATAAAATATCCGTCCCTGATTGGTTGAAAGTTTTGTGGTGTACTGGACTTGATGAAATATTTCTATTTGCAACATTTATAGGTACAATATTCTTGTGGATGTTCTGGCCTAGTTTCAATGGTATCCTCGTTGCTCCTGACTACGTGGGTCAGCACCGTGCCGTTATCAACACGTATTACTCGTTGGCTGCCTCGTGTGTCGTCACATTCGCTATTTCTCCATTCTTCCAGAAAGGAAAAAAGCTTAGCATGGTAATATTAATATTTTAATGCACTCTATTAATGCTGAGCATGAGCAGTTGTAAACATCGAACTACGCGATGTGATCGAGAAGTCTTTAGTTCGGTTTATGTCTGTAGACGAATAGCAGTTCTAGAACTACAGTTCATGGTTTACTTGCCAACCTGATTATGTTTTATTTTCCATATGGCTTGATTATGGTAAACATGATATTCCTATACCCACCCCGGGGGGGGGGGAGGGGGGGGACTTCCCTATAAAACATGGTAGGTATGCTCGACGGACCTTTTACGGTCGAAAATACAACCCTCACGTACCTTTTAGGGTCCTAAGCTGACTCCGTACTTTTAGGGTCAATTTTCGAAGAACGGAAAAAAAATTGAAGAAGTGTTAATAAAGAAATAGATTTTATTAACCTCAACAATCTATGGACATTGATTTTCTACAGTTTGTTAAACTTGAGCTTTTCTCTTGATAAAGACGTCAAAAATGGTCGTACCTTTTAGGATTTTAGGGTCTGGAATCGATACCTGAATTAATTTATGCATACCTTTTAGGGTCATTTTTCAATCCGTCCGTCGAGCATATCTACCTTGCTTTATAGGGAATTCCCCCCGGGGCCTATACCTAAGCCAAGCCGACTTGCGATGTGAAAAATACGAGGACAACAACTCCCATTATGCTTTGCTGCACATAATGGCGTCGCTGCACATTGCCTAATAACGATGACACTCAATAACGATAATAAACGTCTTTACAACTCATTAAGGTTATTTCATGGATGATGATCGATGATCTTGCAATGATATTTGTACTTGTCACACCTCATCGTTGCAAGCTCAGTGTCCATCTCTTCATCAGCTGATTTTAGGATGACGCATATATTAGCAATAGCTGATGGCGATTTGCAGAATTGGCCATTTGTATGAAACAGCCACATATATACACCATACTGGGTGGAAAGAGAATTTTAATTTACCAAGTGGGTAATGGCGGATTTTGTACCATGTGACAATTTCATGTAAAAGGCCAATTAATAATAATATGATACTATTGTTTAATAAAAAACACTGACAGTGGAATTGATTCATAAAAACAGGTCCACGTTCAAAATGCTACTCTTGCTGGAGGAGTTGCTATGGGAACGGCTTGCAACATGGTTTTGTATCCATGGGGAGCACTGCTGGTTGGTGCGATTKCAGGCACCGTTAGCACACTTGGTTATGTCTACCTCACTGTAAGTTAGTACTTCATGTAAGATCGTGTATTCTATATGCACAAGTCGGCTGATCTAATACCATTATTCTCCATCAAGAAGAAAAATGATTCAAATTCATCAAAATGTTTTTTCATAAGACTCATAATAAATATTTTTTCTGAATTTTTTTCTGACTTATTTCTCCTGTTTTACAGCCTTTCTTGGATAAACAACTGAAAATCCATGACACTTGTGGMGTCAAYAACTTACAYGGCATGCCGGGAATTATTGGGGGCATTGTTGGAGGAATCACTGCTGCGACTGCCAAAGCTGAAACTTATGGATATGACGGGTATGTAATATTATAATAATGTGAATTAAACATTGAGAAAATTGAGATCTCTGTAAAAATGAGCCATCCATAATCCCCTAGCTTGTAAGCTACATGGGTGACAAAGTTCCCCGGGATATAACGTGTTTAGTTATATTTCATCAGGTTGTACAATATCTGGGGGGCCATGGCACCAAAAGCTAATACAACTGAATTTACAAGACTGACGGACCTTGGATACACAGACCTCTCAGCTGGTGATGGATTAACTGCAACAAAGATGGGCGGATATCAAGTAGCCGCCGTAGTGGTAACTCTAGGATTTGCTTTGGTTGGTGGCGTCGTTACTGGTACGTAACGTAACCATCTCTTTACGCAAACCTATCTGTCTTAACGCGCAACCTCTCCGTTCGTCTGTCTTTACGGCGTGCACTTCTCCTATTCTGTGTGTGCACCTTTTCTAAACAACATTTCTTCTCGCAAGCATCTCTATTTATAGGTAAGGCTTTCCCTACGAAAACCAATATATCTCCTTGCGAAAACTAATTCGCACGTGCATCTTTTACAACCATCTTTACTCAACTAAACAGTGTATGTATCTACTCGTGGAGGCGGTTTTTTATTCTGTTCACTTTCTAGGTCTTATTGTCAGACTGAGTTATTTTGAGCCTCCAGAAGAAGAGCAGCTGTACAGTGACAAAGATTATTGGGAGGTAACCTTATCACGTGTTAACATATGTATCACGTGACCTTATAAGAATCACGTTGTAAGATGATTAGTTTGGCGAACGTTGTGTATGCCGAGACATATATTAAATGCATGCCGGGTTGTTTCCGTCAAAAGTGATAGAGACGCTTTACATCATGGTAGTTGCACTCAGTGTCGTATCATCTTTTCTTGCATGCAACATGGCTGCTTAAAGTCTCTGTAGACGATAAAGTATATGTTTGTTCCTGAAATAYCAGCCACGAATAATACTCCAGTTTCGAGTTCMTAGCGAAAAACCGCTGCTTTATTTGACAACAGATTCTCTTGCKCAAAGACCTGACTAAAYACAAAAGAGAGCACGAGAAAATGTCTWTATTACAATAGCCTTGAAAATGGAGTATTCAACCAGTGACCTGGGCATGCCACAGAGAAATTGAAATATTATTAACGATTTTTTTTCTTATCAGTCTTAACACGACGATATTATATTSTTTGTTTTATTAACAATTATTTACTTTATTGTATTGTATAGTTGAGGTTGTGTTGTGTTGTATAGCGTTGTATCATGCGTTGTGTTGTAGTGCATTGGCTTATTCATGGAAGTAAGATTGATTGAAATAGAGTATATTAGAAAAGGAAAAAAATCAAGTGAGCAATAGGTAAAAACATATACACCTAATAGAAAAAACGTAGTCGTGTTCGAAAAGGTCACATCATTGAAGCTAAGACCGAAAGGAATTTTGAGTACCACTAAATTGGGATTACATTTGCATTATATACGGTGTACCGTAAAGCAGGTAGAGCTAGTAATATTAACAGCATGCTAGTCTTTTATGCTGGAGAGCTGTTTGTATGAAATTAGCCAAACTGTTTGTCTTCCCAAGTACCCTTTCGGTCTTAGCTTCTATGATTTGACCTTTTTGGACCCGACAACGTTTCTTCAAGTAGGTGTATCTAACCTATCTAACGGATTATTTGRCACTGATCAAATTCAGTTAACGTTCAAACAATTTCAAAAAAATCATTTGAATTGGTACTATTAAACAYAGAAATAGCGAATGATTTTCATTTTGAATTTCTTGCAGACGGCCCCTGATATTGWGCTYAGTGSCTCAGTCACTCTTCCTGCAGCTGAGAACATTCCTCTTGTGGAGGTTGTGGAAAAGAAAGAGGAAGGTAGGCTCCGGTAGTCGACGATAATTTCYTTAACTAAAGCTGTTCTATATAAATTATATAACCATACATCRAGTCATTGTATGATGATTGTTAGAAAACATTAGATTCGTCGACGAGAACAAGTTTGATAATTAGTCCAGTCCCAGCCCCTTTTCGACCCGCTCGGTTAACGGTCCTCTCGCGGGGAAAAGGGTCCAGAAGAACTTGCATGTGCATGCGCCGCCATACACCGTATATATACGATGTCATGGCGGTCAAAGGGTTTTTCCTCGCAAAGAGAAGAGACAGCAAATGATAATTTAAACGAATACGCATCAAAATTCGATTCTGATTTCATATCAGCAGTAAGATATGCTCTCGATTCAAGAGCGTTAAGACTTCAAACCAAAGTCAGAACAAATGGAAGCTTGGTTTCATCTGTCGAAAAGTAGAAGAGTTCGTCCGTTTGAGTACTGGATTTGGCAAATCCTCTTTATACAGTTTGTTTCCGTTGATATGTGACATCTTTCGTGGTTGCCGTTCATCTATAGTATTGGTGATTTCTCCTTTTATTTCTMTGATAAATGCAGCCAAATTTATAGTCGAAGTGAGAGACGGCGATTTCACAGACTACATAGCCTGCGTGGCGGATCTAGGGGAGGGGGGAGGGAGAAAACGGAAGGGGAGGGGGTGGGGAGGCAGGCTACAGACTACAATGTGTTAATGTTGATCCCCGAGAGTTTCAACTCCAGATAGGTCAAAGACAACATGAAAACTTCAAGATAACATCGTATGTGTACGAAGCTCACTGCATCGAACAATCATAATTATTTCAGTAAATGTTGTTTGTAAATGTTGTGTTCGATCAAGTTTGCTTAATCTTCTACAATCATG